TGTGCTTCCAGGGTAACAATGATCACAAGATGTAAAAATATGACTGATCACATTTCACGAAGAAGCTGCACCTTCAAAGTAAAAGCGATCCTAAATTTCAATATAATAATAGCCAACAGTGTCTAATTGAACAGATGTCGGCCTGCAGTGTAAGTCATTCGCAGTAGCGGTTCTAGGCACGGGCGAACCAGGCAGTCGCCCGGGGCGGCATTTCTTCATGTCACGTGGGGGGCGGCACGAGCAGTTAAAAAAATACTCTGTGCCGCGAAGTTTTTCTATTTTTTATTTCGATTCAATTATTGGCAATGGCGCCCTGCTTGCTGAGAAGGTGCCGTGCGCAGAAGCGATGTCAAGGGGATCTCCTGATTAGTTCACGTATCGCGTCTTTTGCGCGCTCGAGGTCGTTATTTCAAATCCTTTATGTTTCAAATAGGCGCACGGGAAGCGCGCTCATTATGCGCTCACGGGAAGCGCGCTCATAAACTTTTCAGTATGGGAGTGCAAGTGCACCCAAACACTTAGGTGTTTTTTCTCTTCTCTGTAAATAAATCTTTTAGCAGAGCTACAGCAAGCGTTTTTCTGTGGTGGAAATACATTAGCTACTAAAACTCCTTTGTCGTTGTGTAGAGCGCAGTGTAATGAGTGCATGGTTCTATAGCAACGACAGCCATGGGAAAATCGGTACGAATTTTACTATTAATAATAAAAGATAGGCTACTGTGCATTATAAATGTTAGGGTAGAAATGTCAGGAATGTATTTTTATTGACTCATTCTTTTTATAGAGATGATTTAAATGCTGAAATATGAGGTTTATCTTTATATAAAACCCTTTTTTGTGTGTTAACCTTTTTTTAAGTTTAGTAGGTAAAATGAAAGACACTCCTTTAAAACAAATCTTTAATGCTATTAACTTGGTGAATTGATTTCACTATGTATTAGGCTTTTTGAACACGATTCTGTGTATGTGATATACCATATTATCTAATACTTTTCATAATGATCAACTAAAAGCAACTTTAATTATGAGTTTTTACAGTAGCCTATAATATGCAACGTTTTTTTTTTTTGGGGGGGGGGGGGGGGTTGGGGGCTCGAAGGGGGTCTCGCCCTGGGTGTAATTCAAAGTTGAACCGCCACTGGTCATTCGGTCACAAGCAAAAAGATCTATCCTTGAAAATCCTTGAAGGAGACAGAATTAGAAAGAGCTAGAATTCACCATTTAGCCTATTGATTTGACAAGTCATCCAATGTCACATCATAAGAGTAGGATGAGTTTAGTGCTTGCCTTGGAACACATTATTTTGAATGCAGAGGTACTCGATTTCAAAAGCCAATAAGCACTTTCAAGAGACAGAGAATACACATTGATATACTGTATATATGTGTATTCATATATGATGGGTGAGAACACAACATAAAAGCTGATGGTACTTTGACTGTATAATCTACATGAATTGCAAAAGGGCCTGACATGCTAGAGGAATTACAGGTCACGGTTTTTGCAACAGTTGGAACAGACCGATAGGAAGAGCATCACATGGACTGAAGCCCTAGGCCCTGCTGATGGTGCTGCCGTTGGGCCTGAAGTGATGCTCTCTCATACACCACAACAGTGGGATCATATGATGTCCGGGTATCTCCACAGCTCAGGACAGCTTGGAGCACACCAGATTAGGACAATCTATTATTAAACTGATCAGCGATCTCACAAGTACACTTGTGACCTAATAAAGGAAAAGTATAAAATGTTCAGATTTGTTTTGCTCTCTTTAGGACTGGAGTCCTAAACTGGAGTCCTAGATTGTGAGTAACCTGCAACAATTGTCACTTATTCTCGGAATCTATTAAACGCAATAATTTTCCAAGCATACGACACAAAAAGGAATAGATCACCAAAAATGAAAATTCTGTCATCATTTACTCACCCCTCCATTTTTTTTTTAAATGATGGACTAAAGACTAAAAAAAAAAAAAATCAGATTAATAAATATTGAGGTATATACTTCATATAAAAATGTTGGGATTTATTTGTTTGAATTTATATAACCCAGCCAGTCACAAAATTTGGGTATTTGATTGCCATTTAAAGGCAAAAGCTAAAGTGAGAAGAAAAAAAAAAGAAAGAATAAATTTACACAATTGCTTACACTTGATATTAGGCAATCTAATCACGAGTATAACATTTTCAATTAAAAAATTCATGGTGTTTTTTTTTTCTGTCACTGGGCTATGCAGCATGATTTCTCTATTACGCTTAAAGGGTAATAGAAATATGCTGATATTTACTGATATACTGATATGCTCAAACAAAAATCGTTGCAAAAGATGCTTTCCAACAGGTTTTTGTCCGACTCCATTGACTTGATTTGGTACAAAAACTACGATAAAACCTGTTGGAAAGCAGATTTTTGTGAGCACTGACCACTGGGGGGGTTTCACGTCTTTGTAAACTAAAGTCTGATGCGTTTTATGAATGATTGTTCCAGTGCAAATAGACAACCATTGTGTAGGTGGGGGGAGTGCTAACATAGAAACCTAAATTTCTCAGGACAGCAGAATTTGTATAAATTTCAGTCTTAACCGTTCTATTTTATCAGAAACGGTCTTAAAACAGTGCTTTAAAGGGATAGTTCACTTTGAAATTAATTTTTGGTATGTTTTAACTTACATCAAGGGCATCCAAGATGTAGGTGTCTTTGTTTCTGCAGTGGTGAAAAGGTTTATGACCATCCAGTGAATATTAGTTTCTGTTCCTCTCAATTCTGATTTCGTTTTAACTCCTACGGTGGCCAATGTAGTACAAGATTAACATGGATTCCAGTTCGACCTCATCCATGAGTGTTACTCAAACCTAAACGTGAAAGGCGAAGCTTGAATTAACGGGTGTGTCCCTCTTTTTGGCTAATGTACTTTCAAGATGGAGCGGCAACATGGCGACCGACATGTATTTTCAATGGCATATTATACACTCACGAGAATACTTACTTGAACGAAGTAAATATACATTAATGAGCACATATATTTTTGAAAGAACTAAGTGTTTTTAGCTATAAATAAACTAAAAGAGTTACACAGTGTAGATTTAAGTGTAAAATACCGAACTAACCCTTTAAGCTTTTTTGAAACTGTATCGTAAAAAGGGTTAATCGAATAAACTAAATATTTTTTAAATAATTATTGTTAAAAAAAACTATAAAATGACCGACTTTGAGAAGTAAAAAAAAAAAAAAAAAAAAAACGCTCGCTGGGCTCTCGTGTCGGAATTTGAGGAAGTGGGGGAAGTGATGTATGCCGCAAAGCAATCGAATTTTGTAGTTCTTTTTGTGCTCGGGTTCCTACCCGCACCTCGAAGTTACAGAGTGCCAGTAAAAGCGATACCATCTCAAGGGTTTAGGAAAAATATTACAAAGGTTGAAAAAACTCCATAATGCTGCTTTAATTGACAGTCAGTGGAAAAAGAAAAGGCATTGACGTGCACAAAGAATTTGAAAGCTAACATGCATACTAATTCAAAGCACTGCTTGATATGCAACACAGGCCAAGACAGAATCTGGCACACATGCTTTACGGAGAGACTGATGTTGAAACGGTGCCTGAGAAGCAGAGCCGAGGTTAACCATCAGCCGGCTGCCTGTGAGAGAGCACTGCTGCACTCATGCAGAAAACATTCCCAAAATGCGACACATTCCTCCCCCCCCCGACCGACTGCATGCCCCTGGAGGCTGGCTCTGACGTCAGTAGCTGAGCTGGGCCGGCCGCCAGCCCTGTGGGCCCTTGATGGATGTGATGGGTCGAGTGGAGCGGGCCGAGGCACGAAGCACGAAGCATGCTGTGCACAGAGAAGCCAGTGCCGCTTAAACAGCCCTAATGACCCGTAAGGACCCAGCAGGCCCTCTCTCTCATACTTTCACCAGTGCGCTAACCCTTTAGCCTTCTGCAGTCTTCGCCGCTCAGGTTGCATAAACTCGGACACATGCACAGAAGAGGTGTATGAAGTCTATTGAAGGGTTTTTTTTTTCTGGCAATAAAAACAAAACCAAAAAATCAGATTTAACTCATCAGCTGTTTGATAGAGACTGCGAGACCTGAAACGTGTGAGAACCACTATTTTAGGGTACTGTTGAAAACACATTTACAGATTCAGAGGATAAACGGCTGTTAGATTAAGATATTAAAACTAGCCTCAGATGTGCAAGTAATATTTATGATAATTATTGAACGTATACAAAATGCATTACATTTCTAATGTGTGCATTCAGTCTCCTAATAAGCAGCGATTCATGATTTTGCTTCAGGACCAATAATATAGGCTTTTATTATAATTTTTCTTAATATTTTGTATTTTGATTTTACATAAATATATATATATATAAATATATTATTTATATAGTTGTTATTTTATTTTCATTTTAATCTACTAATTTGTGTGTTTTGCCATTTGTGTTATTTTTCTTAATATGTCTGTATAATTCGTATTATTAGTTTATTTCAGTTTTGTTTAATACTTCAAGTTAGACTAAAATAAAATGCGAAATGATGCCTTAAAATTTTATTTCAGTTAACGTTTATTTTATATCAAGTAACGATAATGTGTATATACACCATGGAGGAAACATGGAAACAAAGGGCCAGATATGATAATAATAGCCATATTACCAAGAGAGCAGCAACTAAATGATCATTTGTGAAGTTATTATTGTATGGGGGAGAATCTATTTTTTTTATGTACAATTGTATGGTTAGTTGCACTTTATATCAACTGACTGTTACATGTAGGTTTTTTAAGGGTTTTATTGAGAACCACTTTTCCAGATGCAAAGGTTAACCAGGAATAAAGCATAAACAAAATGCAAAGTGTGCATTCAATATATAATTTCTATATTATGTTTACAATTGTGTGAAATGACGTCTAAAAAGTCACCCTGAAAAAACCAAAGACACTGAAAGTAAACGCACGACTATTTCTGACAGAATCTAGCACACGGCCCGGGCCCGTACCTGCGGGCTGACTGCTGTTCTTCCTCTTCAGCCATCTGTCCACCGTCTCCGCACTCACGCTTTCCAGCACAAACTCATCCAGCATCTGCGGGTGGAGGGAGAGATACGCCTTCACTTTCTCATCCGTCAGACCTGCAACAGAATCATCACCATCATTACCTTACCCAAACATTTATTCACAAAAAAACAATGGTTGTCCATTGTTCCGAGTTCTAAAGAAAACACATCAATGGATACATACAGTAGTTTACTGTACTTAACCCTGTAAAGCCTGACACTGACACTTTTTTAACTGAACAGTTTATTGAACCTTTAGAAAAAATAATACAAACGTTTAGGATGAGTTTTTAATATATGTGTTTGTTGTATCATATTTGATATGGCTTTTATGGCTAATGCCATATAATATAGGAGAGTATGGAGCTCATACTCAAGGAAGACAAAAACACCTCGATTTTATTCTGCCCAAACAGAGTAAAAACTAGAGCCAGACCGATATATCGGCCGATATTAGGCATTTTCCATAATATCGGTATCGGCAGTTATAATGGCCGATAAATGAATATTTAAAAAATAAAATAAAAATGGACGAAACACGCTTTAATCATCTCTCCTTGGCCTTTTATATTGAAAATTTATGTTTTACAATTTGCAGTGTGATGTTATCTATTGCTAAATTATGGCTCATCATAGACTAGCTAACCACAAAGCTAGCTAATGCCACTATCATCAGTGGAAGACCGCTAACATTAACATTAATGAGCTTGGAAACCACAATGAACTTTTTCTGCCTAAATAAAGTAATTATTACTGTATTTATAACTAGCATATCTCTAGTTACAGTCCGTGCATTGTAAAATGCAAGTTATTCTTGCGAGGAGTGAACATTTAGACAGAGAAAAAGTGTCAAATATATCTTGTGCAAAAAAGTTAGCTTTTCTTTTACACGTGTGTGAAAAGATTACAACAATATTTATTAAAAAAAAATATATATATATATATATATCGGCCGATATATCGGAATTTAAAACCCCAAAATATTTGTATCGTATCGGCCTTCAAAATCCTTTATCCATTGGGCTCTAGTAAAAATGTGCAATTTGGTGCAGCTGCGGATATTTACATGTTCAAACATTACCCCTTATAAGCTTTTCTGGGTCTTTTTTGATGGCAAATGACATTTGCTGAAAAAAATAAAAATGTTCCCTCCATCTAAATGGCATGAGACTTGATGTCGAGGTTGAGACTTTCTAGGTTTACGGACAGAAAAATAAATTGGAACGATATCTGGTTGTTTGTTTGCATAAAAAAAAAATCCTCTTAACCCCAGACAATAAAATGTGATTTTGTAACATAATAATGTATTTTTTTTTAAACAAATTAATCACCACTCACTTTATTTATTTGTACAGTGTTAAAATAAATTTGTATAAATACATTTTGTCAAATAAAAAAAAAAAAAAAAACTAAATCAGCCACAACACAAAACACATATTATAGAAGTGGCAACCCAAAAAAACATCCACAATGTGAAACAGTCATGCTAACACACACACACACACACACACACACACACACACCAAAAAATCTCCCAAAAACATCAATGGGAGACTATACAAAAATAATAATAATAAAATGAAATAAAATAAAAAAAATCAGTTACAATTACAATATAAAAACACAACAAATGCCAACACCAAAACACATGCATGATGAAGTAAACACACACACAACACAAACATATCTGGAGACCCCAACATGAGTGTACATTAAAAATGAATATAGCTTATAAGGGTTACGAGGAAATTCCAATAGCTGATAATGTAATAGAAAACCATTTTTTAAAAATAAATTTTTAATAAAAAATAAATAAATATATCTCACAAGTCATAAGGACAACATTTGTTCTGCTTTTTTGCAGTTGTATGAGAAACTGCAGCTCGGCATTTACCCCAATATCTCCTTCAGAGCTTAAAGTGCCCTTATTGAGCTTTTTCTAACATCACCTTTAATGCAAGCAGTGCGTAATAAAGCTGTTTGTGAATGTAAAAGGTCTGCAAAGTTTTAAAGATCAAAGTGCGCGACAAAAGTTATTGTCTCCTAAAAGAAGACTAATTAAACTGCTGAAACGAGTCGACAGCAATTCCAGTCTGCATTGTGACACACACACACACTTGCTTGCACGTCGCATGCAGATTGCGCGCACACAGAAACATTCATTAGGGCAAAAATGTATTGTCAACGCTGCTCTGTGATTTATCAATAAAATAGCTTAGAAACTCAAGAGTTATATATGATATATTTCTATGTCAAAAACCCACAGCTTCACTATTAGTAGAGAGTTAATTCACATCAATTGCTCTGTATAATGCAATTATATTTAACTGTGCTTCTTCATCTGTATCTGACTTAGGAGCATAAATCTAAGATGGACAAAAGTACTGATAAAAATCTGTAATGAAGCAATAGCCTTATGGCCTTATCTGTCCATAGGACAACCGGTGTTCGAGTCTCAGCTCGAGGTTCAAGCTTATTTGTTCATTAACGGCATCATCAGTGTCTAGTCAACGTTGACTCAACAACTAGTTTAGTACATGGGGCTTCCCAGCAAACAAGGAGGCACAGGAAGAAGAATGACAAGTTGACTGTGCTTAATAGGCAATTAAGTGTTTGAGAGCTTTATCGTCTTCGTTGTCAGGGCAAACATCAATTTACTGGGACATTGCTGAAGCCAAGCACATTTTGGTTAGCTTAAAATAAGCCAGCCTGTGTGGGTAGGTCTAGTAGAACCCATTTTATTTTTTTAATGAATGTTTTTAATAAATATATTTGCTCACGCTCAATGCTCAATGCTCAACTAACCTATGGTAACTGTTGCAGGAAATACATATGCAGTATTTAAGTGTGCCAACTTCCTACTAAATATTATATGCAATTGTTCATAGGCTAAAGAAAAAAAAGGTAAAAAGATACTGATCTCTGATCTTTAAAGTTTATGAACAAAGTTTGGCTGAAAAATCCTGAAAAAAACAACAACTACATTTCATAAATATAGTAGTCTTAAAGGGATAGTTCACCCCAAAAATAAAATTACCCCATGATTTACTCACCCTTAAGCCATCCTATGTGTATACGACTTTCAGGCGAATACAATCAGAGATATATTCAAAGATATCCAAGCTTTATAATGGTAGTGATCCGAATTTTGAAGTCTTTGCCCCACATTTTGCTCCACACGGCTGCGGGGGTTAATAAAGGTGATGCGTTTGTGTGAGAAAAATATCCATATTTAAAACTTTATAAACTAAACTAACTTCCGACAGACATCGCATACGCATCGATTTAGGGTAAAAGAGAAACACTTAAAACTTTAAAATCTAATAATAAAAAAAAAAGAAGTCTCGAACGAGGAGTTTTTAAGAGAAATTTCAGAGGAGCCCTGTTTTTTTTTTAAACCACAAAGCTTACGCTACTAAGCACAAATACTATGTAAATACAATGTCATAGATTGTGTCAGGGGTTACTCTTTTGGCTTATATAGACGACTTGCATAGCTTGACTGCCGGAAGCTTATTATTTTCATTTATAATGTTTTAAACATGGATATTTGTATTCCAAAAAACACATCGCTGTGCTTCAGAAGGCCTTTATTAACCCTCTGGAGTCGCATGGAATCATTTTATGATGTATGGATGCACTTTTTTGGATTTCAAAATGAGGACCGCTATTCAATACCATTATAAAGCTTGGAAGAGCTTTAATATTTTTTTGTTTGTGTTTGTCTGAAAGAAGATTTTCATATGCAGTGGCCTGAGGGTGAGTAAATCATGGGAAGTTTTGGGTGGACTATGCCTTTAAATTTCTTTCAAGCCTTCAAAAGACCCACTTCTACAAAGGTCATCAATTAGTGGACGATCGTCCAGATCAAAGATAGTTTCTACATACTGTAGTAGATCATGAATCATTTTTCATCATAACCATATTAATGCATTGGCGGCATACTATAGAACATGTATTTTAAAAAATATATATTTTAACTTTTTTTAAAAACAAAATTAGTAAGAGTTACAGCTACCAGTTTAAACATTTATAACTAAAATTAAACGCAACATTCTTACATCACTAAAACTCTTCAAGATACAATTTTTCGAAGACTGGACCTCCAGGAAGTTTTAATTAAATATCGTTGGTCTACGCATTGATCTTTTTTTTTATGCCACGATGGACTCAACTGAAACCAAACACTTTGACCATATGTGAGTTTTGACTTAATGTACAAACTTAAGGGAAACACAGCTGGGAGGCATGTGTTCCACAATACACACACACACTCAAGTTAGCAGGAAGATATTGGGACCCAAACTAGCCCACAAAAGCTCCCACAAGCAGAAAAATGGTATAGACTGTTTTGGTGCACAACAATAAAAGACAAAACAGATGAAAATGGCAGAGCCTCCACTCTTTGAACACTAAAAACAAACCAGATGTGTGGGATATTCATATCAATTAACAAACAGTTGTATAGCTAGCAGAAGTTGCACTACAAATAACCATTATATACGTCAGACTACAACCCTACCATTTCCTCATGCAATATTACCATGGCATTTCCGGATCTCAAAGCAGAAGTAGCCGAATGCAACATTTTAAATAATATCAATGCACAAGTCTGACCTGCGATTCAGCCTGGAATAAATCTGGCCCCCTGAGTCAGGTTATTCCAAGGTTTCTGTCTTTACAACCTGATGGAGTTTCGGTCCATATGGGGTGGATGGACTGGGTTGTAAAAAAATTGTTTGTGCTTTTTATATTTAAACTAACACTGTTGTGTTGTGGGTTTGTGGCTTCATCTTTGTATTCTGTGCTTGCTGCTAACATAATCAAGACAACATATTTTGCCATTGGTCCTACCAAATTCAATGACCATTATCAGAGTCATTCCTTCATACATTTTTATGTCTGCATCATGTATGTCTCAATATATTATATAAAATATTTTAGTTGTTTTAGTTTGTTCTAAACAATTTATTAATTACTATTTGTTTAATACAATTTATCGATATATTGTTTTAATTGGTAATCATTATATAGATTTTTCCAGTGTCCTCAATTTCACTTTCCATTCTCTTAGTTTTTTGTAATTTCTGACTTAATAAGTACACTGTAAAACAATATTGTTGGTTTACCTCAAAAAAGTAAGTAACCTGGTTCCCTTAAAATTTTAAGTTCATTGAAATGGAAAAAGTGAGTTGATACAATGACGGAGAATGATTCAATCATCAGAAACTCGAAATTAAATGTTATCTGAACTAAATAAATTATTTAAGTTGATTTGACAAAAGAAAAAAATGTTGTGATTGCTAATCATGAAAATATTTTTTTTACAGTGTACTTAATTATATCATCCTCTAGGAAGTGACAATTTTTGGTTGGAAAATAGCACAAATATCAATATGTATTACCAATGTATTAATTATGTGATGAATCGCTATAAAACATCAAAATTTCAAAAGATGTAAAAAATGAACTTCAACTGACCTTATGCAAGCTAATTCTCCGTCTGTGCGTGCTAAGCAATGACTGATAACTTTGTTTTCTTAATATTTTGTACATATAGTAAGTACATATAAATGAAACAAAGTGCCTAATCTTGACCAGAACATTTTTCTGAAAGTCCCTTTTATAAAAACACGTTCATAAAGTATAACGCAAGCATATTCATTTTTAAACATTACCGAGATCAAAAGGAATGGCTCATCCTATGAATTATTCCACTGGACTGAAATCTCTCGGTCCTTTCACGAAACGATCACTCACATATTTCATCTGGTCTGTTTTTGCAGGAGCACTCTAAAACATTATTTTTTAACCTTCCTTTCTAATCCCTATTATAATTATTTTACTGTTAGAATGTGTGTAAAACACAGAAACCAAGTAGACGCTTTATTTTATCTGTAAAAATTATGGAAAGCATTTTGAATTATGCATCAATGTTTTCTTTTTAGTTCAGAAAATGATGGGAAATTGTCATCTAAAGCAACCAGCTGGGTTTAGCTCAGGGGGAAAAAAGCATGTTGATGTATGGAGGTATAGGTCTGTATACGCACAGAGAGAGACAGTGAAAGAGAAAAAACCAGGAGGGGGCCGAGGGCTGCTGCCGACTGACGCTGTCCAGACACGAGACACAGCTCTTCAGGAGCGCAACGCCTCACGAGACTCCCAGAGCCAGTGCTGACGCACATGGGGAGAGAACACTGCTTCATAAATCAGACACTGGAGGGGACGCAGACACACAGGCTGAGTGTGAGAAGAGAGAAATAACACTAGACGACCTTCTGTGAGGTTTCCTGCAGCATTAACTCATTGAGATATTACACACTTAGACAATAGCACCATATAATTGCAATTTGTGTCTCTCTTCATATTAACCTGATTACTGTCCCGCCCCCCTTTTTTTGAGCATATGAAATTAAATAGTAAATAGTAATGCTTTGAATTCACATGCTAAAGTTGCTCTCTTTAAAAAGAGGACAGTGCAGATTATTTCAGAAGAGGAAGTATCTTAAAAAATGAATGTATTTAAAAAGTATAGAAGTTTATATCTAAATGTAAAGCAAATGCACTGAACTAAACGTTTTAAATTTTATACAAAATACATATTTTATGAAAAAAAAAAGGTTTTCACAAAAAATGTAGCCTGCTAAAAGTATTTAAAGAACCGTAGAACCCTCTAGTAATGTAACATCTAATTTCAAAACAGTTTCACAGGTTGAATTTGGAGTGTTTAATCTTTTCATAATGCTTATTGAAATAAGTGATAGAAAAATTCCTCGCAACTGGAACGCTGGCAGTTACCAGGCTAAAACATTACATTTATATCAGATCAGAAATGTTATATTTTATGATACACTGGGTATTCGACAGTTACCACTTGGGAATTTGACACAAGGTGTGACGTGCTATAGAAGGCCGCTTGAGGGTTAGCTAACTGTTCCTGCCTATTCTGTTATGACCAAGGAGATTGTCCTTGGTCGAGTACGAGTGATCGCTTAGTCGAGTACGAGTCTTTAACCAATCCAGTCCAAGTCCAAAAGGGGAAGGGTAGAGTCTGAGTCCAACTAAATAACACATCAAGTCAAAATATATATATATATATTATATATATATATATATGGCAGGTGGATTTAAAAATTCACCTGCCACAGAGACTTTTTACCAGCCTTTTTTTTTTTGCCTCATAAACGTAAAAAAAAACAAAAAAAAAACGGGAAATTTACAATATTGTTCTTTAACTTGTAAGAATACACATTTAAGTGCTGTCAAGTAATAATAACTCTAATAACATACATTAAAAAAAAAATCTTTTTATTCATTGATTTTGACAGACACACACACACACACACACACACACACACACACACACACACACACACACAAACATATATAGTATAGGCTATAATATAGTATACTCAACAGATAGACCTACCGCAGCTCAAATCACACGCGGCTGTGTTGATGGCGGATTTAGTCACGTACAGGTCTTACTCTTAACAGCTTTTAGTTACAGCGTTCAGGAACGGTTAAATATGAACTAAATTAATACTGTTATTACTGATAAAATTACCGGGTACCGGACATTTTCTCACCGGTTCCCAACTCCCAACATGCACAGTTGCACACGCACACACATCTGTGCAACTGTCATTGTACTTTAACCTACAACAGCGACGCGTTACATTATCTCATCCCATCTCATCCCATGTATATATTTAAGAAAATGTGTTATTCATATATAAAATATTTATATTTATATAATATAGATTATGTATTTATAAATATATATACAGAATTTAAGCACAAATAATTCTTAAATATATACATGCATGCATAGGTATTTATATATACAAAATAATTATATACAGCACACACAAATATATTATGTAAACACAGACTTTTATTTTGGATGCGATTAATGCAATTAATTTTTGCACAGCCCTAATATATATATATATATATATATATATATATATATATATATACATATTAAGTGTGAACTTGTGAAATGGAAGTTAATGGCCAACTGGATTTCTGTATTGTGACATTTCTGAGTGAAAAAGCTTTTTGAAATGTAAAAAGCTATACGCTGAGACTTTACTCATCCATCAATATAAAAGTATTAAAGGTCCCGTTCTTCGTGATCACATATTTCAAACTTTAGTTAGTGTGTAATGTTGTTGTTAGAGTATAAATAATATCTGTAAAATTATAAAGCGAGATATTTTATTTAACAGAAGTAGCCTACATCGAACAGCCCGTTTGGACTACATCCCTCTACTTCCTTCTTTAATGATGTCAGTAGAACAGTTTTTTGACTAATGTCCACCCACAGGAATGCTCCCTCAACTCCCTCAACTTGCGCACTTCTTATAACTTACTGTGTTTACTCAGCTCTTACGGTGATTTTCTGAAGTAAAACCTATTGTGTAGGTTTGCGTAGGTACTCTATGTACAGGTGTACAATAAACTTTATTAAACTCAGTATATGTTTGATCATCATTCGGAAACAGCAGACTTGTAGGCTATTAATAAATAATAGATACATACAAGCAGATGACAAATACGTTATAATAACCATAATTAAACTACTAAACTATACCTGTTCCATCTCTATACAGCACTCTGACCCTGTAGGCATTATTGTCCAACTCGAAATGAACACCGTTACTGAGAGTTTCTGATGTTATCATCATTCCGTGAGATGAAATTGTCCTGAGAGACTGAGCGTGAGCTCATGAAGCTCTGCCCCCTGTGCCGGCAGCAGCAGCTTATTTGCATTTAAAGGGCACACACTAAAACAGCGCGTTTTTCTGAGCCCTAAAAAATGACAATTTAAACATGCTGTAAAATTGATCTGTTGAGTATTTTGAGCTGAAACTTCACATACACATTCTGGGGACATCAGAGACTTATTTTACATCATGTGAAAAGGGGCATAATACGGAACTTTTAATTCAAGGCAGAGGGATAGCTTGGTGAAGGGGAACAGATTATTGAGACTTGAAGAGCCGAAAATACAGTGGTAAGGGGAAGGGAAGGGACAGACCTACAGTATTTACAATGGCATGCATTGTGTACAAAATTCCTACATGTAATTTCTATAACTTAAGGTTTACGCTAATCTCACATGACAAATGCAAGTCAGCAAAAAGTTGGACTGGATTCTGGACTCGAGGCAGAGCCCGAGTTTGAGAACTCCAACTTCACTTACCGTTCCGTATCGACTGCTTCAGAGTTAGCTACCAGTCCTGTATTGGCTAAAAAAAGACCATGCCTAGTCCCCTTGTCTCGGCCACGGAGCTGTGTTCTCAAGTCTCAGCTACTCCTACTCCCCGTCCCAGTCTTGATGGCCGCCCTTGAACCATCTTTTTTTTTTGTCTGTGTCTCATTAGGTCTGTCGATGCCAGTCTGCCAGATGTCAGCCAGTCCTCCAGATGTTTCCAAGTCAGCTGGCCCTCCAAACGTCAGCAAGTCAGTCGGTCCCTCAGAATGCACCAAGTCAGCAGGCATTCCAGAAGTCAGCACTCCAGTTATCTGCCAGTAAACCTGGGTAAACCACGCCAGTCAACCACGGGTAAGTTTCTCTGCCGGCGCCAGTCAACCAGTTCTCCAGATGGTACTCCAAATACCACTTCAGATAATCTCGGTTCAGCCGGCATTCCATTGACTGTCATGTGACCCAAGATATTTAAAACCAGAAAAATCTTTTGCCTGATCCTCTCAGCATGCCATGTCCTAGTGGTCACCTACGCTGCCTGCACCATTCTGCTGGCCACCTAATCAGTGGCATCTACCCTGGATCCCCGAATCGTCTCTGCTGTAGTCTTCCGTCTGATCTTCAGTTTTGTCTGCTCAGCTGCAGAAGCCTTCTGCTCCACCCAGGGGATCTTTATTCCCATCTGGTCCATGTGGTGGTCTTCTGCTCCACCCTGCCCTTCGCCTTCCCCAACTCCACCATGGCTCCTTCGCCTCATGGCGATTCTGCAGGAGATTACTCCCTGGCTTCCTTCGCCTCCCTGGATGATCCTATCATGGTCTCCTCCTTGGCCTCTCCCTCCCTCCACTCCTCCATGGATTATAGGACATGTTTTGGAGCATCTGGAATCTGCTCCAAGAGAAGAGGGGAGGGTTGTGTGTGTGTATATCGGCGGGGTTCTTCAGTTGTCTGGCCTTGAAGTATGATACTTAGGGCCAATCCCAATTCTACCCCTTACCCCTTCACTTTCCCCTTCCCCTCCATTTTGCGCGTCCACGTGAAGGGGTAGGGCTGTCCCAATTCTCTTTTGGTTGGAGGGGGAGGGCTAGGGTGAAGGGCCAGATAGCCCTTCAAACGAAGATTTTTCGGGAGCACACTTCAAACGAAGGGGTATGAGAAGTGTCACTGCTAACCCAGGCTGGCTGCCCAAGCGACAAAGGAGACCCATAAATTTAAGTATTTGTGGCTTTAATAAGTATTATAACGACAAATAATGATTTGCTTTATGTTACATTCAATATTGTGTTCATATTTACGGTCAGTTTCTTCACAGAAACGTTTGTAAAAAAATCGCTAAAATTACTGTAGTTTGCTAACGATAGTCCCGCAACATATTTTCGTCGTCTCCGTTGTTTCCTGCGAACTTCACAAGATAAATGCAAGAAAATAGCTGTAACCCACGCGACTGAGATAACTGCAGCTGTCGACGGCATCTTGGAAGTTGTGATAAACATCAGCGCATCTCCTGTGACGTAGGCGCTAGCGACGACTTATAATGACGTTTAACGGAGGCGTAGTGGTGTCCCATTTCTTAGGGGAATATTTTCACCCCTACGCATTGCCACTCTGTTTCAAGGGTCAAGGGGAAGGCGAAGGGGTAGGGCTAGGGGAAAGTGAAGGGGTAAGGGGTAGAATTGGGATTGGCCCTTACTCACCTATTGCTCCTCAGAGGATTTAACCTGTGTTTCTTGTTCTTGCCTGAAAGATGTAAAGATAAGTGATTTACCTAAGACTCTTTCTTACCCGTGATAATCCATCTGATGTTCCACTTGTTCCTCTGGAGAGTTGTTCTCAGTTATTCACTGTGAAAGTAACTACAATTACTGGGTAATAACTAGTACTAACCCTGAACCTACTCCTAAACCTACCCCTGTTCCATGTACTTACCTTATATTAGCCAGTACTTTCTAGGTCAGTACACTGTAAGTACCTTGTAAGTACTGTACTGTAAAAGGAAGCGTTACCAGATATACTTACCTGTGTTCTCTATGTCCTGGATGGAAAGATAAGGAAAGATCTGTTTACTACAATATATTTACTTCAGCCTTTGTTCAATGTCTTGGATGCTATTCCGCCTAAAGTGATATCTCAGTGAATGTTTATGTAACCTATTATGCCTCGCCGAGGATTTTAAAGTGATGAACTGAGAAATCAAATTTCTCAGAGCTTTTGACATCTAAGAGGACATCATAAGTTTCAGAACTGAAAACATCCTTGTTGGTCCAATAAAAGCTTTTATTGACACCAGGATCAGCAAACGACTCGTGTTTCAAAGTGGGGAACTATGACGTCGAAGAGGATAAAACATCACCCCCGCAGAAGAAGATTAACGCCTACTTCAACACGCTAAATAATAGGGGTGGGGAAAAAAATCGATTCTCGATGCATCGCGATGCGGACGTGGACGATCCTGAATCGATTCACAAATGTCAAAAAATCGATTTAAAAAAAAACATTTTTTTATATGCATTTATAATAACGTAATATTGACGGAACGCGAAAGACGGAACTCTGAAGCGCGGAAGTGCAGTGGCGAGACCGTCTGTGTTGTGCAAATAACAGAGATGAGATGGCACGCGAGATCCAAACACTTTCCTTGTTAGGTTAAAAGCTGACGTGTGGAAATATTTTGGCTTTTGAAGTTGAAGGGGGAAAGGAGCTGGACGAGAGCCGCACTAGTTGTACGCTTTGTGGAATAAAACCAACGACGGAAACACGACAAATATGATAAGCCATGTGACACCTTTCCAGCCAGAGGAAGAAAAACACTCGGCTGCACCAGTCGTTATATTATTTATGTACAACAAGTATGCTCCTAGTTCAAGCACACATTTATTTTCCTGGTCGTTCTTTGTAATGTTAATAAAATATATTGTGCATTAATTCTTTATGGGTCATTAATTTGTACTTTTAAAGCAAATTATTTATAGTCACACACAAAAGATTCAGATAATCGATTTGTAACAATATAAATGTCTTGTACTTTTACTTTTGATCAACTTAATTTATCCTTGATGAATAAAAGTATAGATTTCTTTTTTCTTTTGCCCAAAAAATTAAATAAAAATTCTTACCGACTCCAAACATTTGAACGGTATTGTTTAATGTTACAAAAGCTTTCTATTTCAGATAAATGCTGTTCTTTTGAATTTCTGGGTGATTCTCTGAATCGGGTGCCCTTCAAGTCCCCCAAACTTGCTTCAAATATTTTCAATTGAAGGAAATCACAAAATACATTTTAATGCTGTCAATTAATAGAACCAGGTGCATTTGCATTATAATGCAACAAAATTGCTTTTGAAAAAAATTTAAAGTTAATAAATGTAAAGATAATGAGTTGCCTAAGTAGTAGACAACATGCATGTTTGCATGTCCTCACTAACCATCATTATATTTTCAATGAATATCAAACAAATAAAAAGTGCAATTAATACCAAAATGTTGCTGCTGCTAATATAACCATATGTTGGTCTAGTGTATTTTCGTTTACTGTTGTGAAATGGAAAATCAATAATCGGTAATCGAGAATCGTCAATAATCGAAAATCGACTGTAATCGAATCGGGACTTCAATAATCGTAATCGAATCGAATCGGGAAATCAGACAGATTAACCACCCCTACTAAATAACATAGGCTACCTTGTGATGACAAACTGGATAGAGCTACCGAGCAATACAAAATATTGTGCAGTGCATAAGCTTCCTCTGGATTCAAATAGGACTGCATGGTTAAACTTTATTTTTAATGACGTTCCAGCTGATAAAACATTGTCAGGTAAAACATTGTCAGTCTGTTCGCTTCATTTGACTGAGGATTGTTTTGTAAACAAGACTGGATTTGCAGACCGATTAAGAGTAAAGAACGGTGCTGTGCCATCTTTGTTGGATCTGACAGGAATGTTGCAACGCACGGACTCTGGGTCGAACATGTATGGGTGAATCATTGCAGTTGCCATTTTACAACATTGGACGTTTTCAAAACAATTTCCCTCAAGTGCACCGACAGGTGAGTTGAAACTCATTATAATATGCAAAACTGTTGTCCACAAAACTGTTGTCCAGCAGTGGTTCGAGACGAGTCTTCAGTGCGAGACGCCCATAAAAACAGTGCATTTTTTCAGCTAGGCTCAAAACTAGGGTATAAAATAGCCTTTTACTTATTCATTTTGATGTTTTTGAATGCAAAAACCAAGCAAACGTCATAAGTTGACCTCAGACAACAATATAATAAAATTTAAAAAGCCAGTTCATGACCCCTTTAATTATAATCTGTTATTTATCTGTTATGTGCCTAAGTTGTTGCCTATGTGTGCCTACAGGGCTCCAGACTGCGACCAATTTTCGCATGTGCGACCAGTAAATTTGCCACAAGAATAGTGACAAGAATAGTGCACGTAAACGTCTGTGGGAAGGAGACGGAGACAAATATCACAACCTGATGTGCATCTGAGCAATCAGCGATCTATCGACTCGTTAGTTGTTACCTAGCAGCGAATGCAAACAAAATGAAAGTGGAACGAAAATACGCTACTCATTTATGATTAGGACCGTGGAGAAGCAGCAATGATCCGAACCTTGACAGTAAAATAAAGCCCCAAACTTGCTAGTCGCGGGCCGATCTCGCTACTAGGAGATCCAGTGAAGAAATCCATTGAATTGGCCTCAGAATTAATAACATCATCGTTAAGAGATCCAGTGAGAAACATTCCGATTCGCTGCAGAGTTCTGTTACAAACCATAGATATCAGACCAACCAGCGCTGACGTGGAAACCAGGAGAAACACTTTTAGAAGGCTTTCAGTCCACAAATCAGCAACATTCACCATGGATTTAGGCTACTAATAAAGTAACTTAACTATAACCATGAATATGATAATGTGACAGAAATAGTCACTTACAAGTAGCCTATTACACATCTTTTCCCAGCACTTCAAAACTATAATATCATAGGCTATATAAATGTTTTAATTTTTTTTTTTTGTATTTTTTGTTCATCCTTTAAAGATTGCCCGAAAACGAAAAATTTTAAGATGTTGGAAAACTCTTATTTAAACACTTGAAAAATAATAATAATACCATTGTAAACAGTAGGATGTTTATTGGCTATTTTCACTCCATATACATGTTTTCTAGAGGTGTGAACCTACACTGGTCTCACGGTTCGGTTCGATTACGATTATCAAGTCTTCGATTCGATTCAATTCGATTATCTCGATGCATCACGATGCATTGACGATGCACTGCATCTTTATTTTTCAATTTTGCTTCACATGTATACAATTGGGCGATATGGAAAAAATATCATATCACGTTTTTTTTGGGAAAATCACGATCACGATTTTTTTATCACGATTCTTTTTCAATTTGGTTTTAATATTTTGCAAGTGCCTGTTCATTACAGCCAAACTAATGTTAAAAACAAATCCTTAGGTAACAAAAGAAAAAAGAAAGGCATACATTTAGGCCAGTGGCGAAGATAAAAATCTTTGTCATTATTTTCTTTTTTTATATTAAAAAAATAAGACAAGATAAACATTACACAAATTAATATTCAAATTAAATAAATAGTGCTTTATTTTTTCAGATGCAGTAGGTGTATTTAGCAGTAGCATTGAAGAAAGTAATTAAATTAACAAACATGAAATTAAAACACTACATAGACTTCACTGAATAAATTGATTCTTATTAAAGCTACTATTAAAGTTCTCAGTCAGTGAG